CAGCCTTCCAAGTAGCTGGAACTACAGGCACGCGCCACCATGCCCGGCTAATTTTTTGATGTATTGCAGAGACAAGGTCTCGCCAAGTTGTCCAGGCTGGTCTTGAACCCCTGGATTCAGATAAGTCTCTTGCCTCTGCCTCCCAAAGTGCTGGAATTACAGGCGTGAGCCACCACCCCAGGCTCTCATGTACTCTTTAACTCATCACCCTATTTTATTTCCTCCTTAGTACTATTCATTTAACAAATCCTGGCCTACTGGATGCTTTGGGCTGGGCACTGTTTTAGGCTTGGGGAGCACAGCTGGGAACCAAATGGGGGCTTCAGAATGCCCCAGAACTGCTGGGCACGGTAGCTCGTGCTTATAATCCCAGCTCTTTGGGAAGTTGAGGCAGGAGGATGGTTTAAGTCCCGGAGTTCACGACCAGCTTGTGCAACATAGCAAGACTTCATCTCCACAAAAAAAATCAAAAAATAAACTTAAGGAAAAACAGCCAGGCGGGTTGGCACATGCCTGTAGTCCCAGTTCCTTGTGAGGCTGAGGCGGGAGGATGGCCTGAGCCCAGGAGGTCGAGGTCCCCGGTGCCCACAGCAGTGCCTGGCCCACAGTGAGTGAGAGAGGAGGTAGGGTCAGCTCAGAAAACTTGAGGGCGGATGGAAAGTTCCGAGCTCATGGACGCCTGCAGCAGCGATACACAGCCACACACGCAAGCAGGTGGCCTCGCTACAGGAAGCTGTATGCCCATCTGCCAGGTCCTTACCAGCAGCTCTGTAATCCATCCATCCAGGATGCTTGCGATCAAGAGGGCCCACCAAGGCAGGGACTGACTCAGAGACCCCTGGAGCATGCGCAGATCAATAGCCCAGGTCGACCTAAGAGAACCATAACATACTGTTACCTTCGTTGTAATACTACCAACATAAAATGACCCTAGGGGAGTCGCCCACTCCCATCAGACGCCTGATGCCATGACCCTACCCGTGTAACCCAATAAGGCCTGAAACTCCTCCACCTGGCGTGAGGGAGGAGAACAGGGACCCAGCACTAAGACTGCCTATTTCAGCTGGGCACGGTGGCTCACACCTGTCATCCCAGCACTTTGGG